GGCCGCGGCCCGCCGGCAGTGCTCGGGGCCTGGGGGGAAGGCACGCAGGCGGTGGTGCAGAAGGCGCTCTTCGTTTGCACCCTCTGATTCGCAGGAACGCCTGTTCCTGCCAAAAATGTGGCGTGGGCAAAGCCGACACCGAGTCGGAGCCACACAGGCGAGCATCGATGCCCTTCGTCCTTCTCAGCTCCAGCCCCGCGTTCTCCCAGGGGAAGTCTTGTGGGCTTTCTTGCAACTCACGCTGGTGCTTTCTCTCATGTTTTAGAGCAGATTTTTCGCTGAAAAGTGCGGAAAAAAATTCCTGCGTGCAGAGCGGAAGAAGAAAACAAACTGCTATCTGAAATAGCCTATACAAAGCGTGCCAAAACAATAACAGCAACCTCACCTGCAATACTGAGCCTCCTGACAGCTGGCAAATTCCTTTACGAAGCTGGTGAAAGCTTTGAAAAGGTGCAGCAGGTCACTGAGGCTGCAGTTTCCGCTATGGCGCTGGCAAATTTTTTGATCAGTTAGGTGTTTGTGTAAGGAACGCGGCTCAGGTGCTTCCACAGACACCGTGCATACTGCTTTTTAATAACTCGTCCTCCTATAATCTTATTCTCTTCCAGTATTGGAGATATCATGTAAATCTTCCCCTTTAGGTTGCCATCTCTTATTTTATAAAGAGTAGCGAAACCAAACTTTAGACACCATCTAGCATGTCCGTACTGCATTAATTATAAAGCTTTTTTTTAAAAAGGACGCTTATCCAAGATGCATTGACAGTTATATGCAGTGTCTCTTACTCCCATGATTATTTCTTGTTACTACCCTGTTTGGAGAAAAACCTACATGTGAGTATATAGGAAGTCCTGTGAAAATTTACAGTCCTGAACAGATAGTAGATCTTTAAGCTAGAACAAAGATCTTCAAATGCTAATCTATCCCATCCAGCTTCTAAATAACTGAAGATTATGACTGCAGATTGAATATTTAAGCTCATTTATATGAAATCTAGCCATTTTTTGAATGCTTTTTTTGTTCAGGACTGTCACATTGATTGTTCTATAAAAACAGAGATGTTCAAATACGGATAGACTGGATGTGGTGGTGGGAAAAGGAATTGCAAGTAATCCTAAAAAAGGGAGTAGGTTACTCAAAGGGGGTATACATATATCACAAAGAATAGGCAAGATAATAAAAGAAAGAAAAGCTGAAGAGGATGACAGAAAACACGATGGAGAAATGAAAAAAATTGGTATTACACAGAAGAGAATTCCATCAAAAGTTTCTTTTTGTCTAGGATGAAAAAGGTTGTCCACTCATTTTTTTTATGCAAGGTTTGTATACTTGACTACAAAACTTTGAATTCCTGTTGTTAAAATTTTCCACAAGCAGAATGTCCACTACATATCTTTCTACCAAATAAGCCCACTCGAAAAAAGCAGTCGTATAATAAATGCTTTTAATAAAATTTGCTATGCAAATTGTGACTGTAGAATTGCTTTACTTCAAAAGTACATCAGTTACAAAATGTTTGACAAATGTAGGCGAGCATGATGTTACAGTCAGTGATGCTGAACACAACAAAAAAAAAAAGTTGTCCATTATCTCTTACGCAAACTCACCTTTTGTACCAATTGGCTTCCTGCTGTTCATACTGACCCCTACAGACAAATAAAAATAGATTTTCAGTAATATGAGGATGAAACCTTTATTCTTGACCTGAGGTAACTGCTTAGGTTTTAGATGCCATTTGAGTTTGAAACTTAAATACCACAACTCTTTTAAAAAAAGCAAAAGACCACGACATTTTAAATTAACTTTCACACCAATCAAATTGCATCGTACTGGCAACCTCAGGTTTGACCTTGAAGCTATGTGTAGTAATGCACATATGAAAAAATACTACCGCTATCAGTCATTCACACCAAAATAATATACTGCCTTTTCGTATCGTTCCTGAAAAAAAGATCTGAAAGCTCGCCACAGCTCTAATAACAATATTTAAAATTAACAGTTTGCAGAGCGTAGCCTACAAAAAATGACCACATTGCTATTGCTCAAGATGTGCTGAATATGTTATGTAGAAAATCTTATGAAAATACTACAACACTACAATAATAAATAACAGTACGCATGTGAAGCACAAAAACGCACTGTTGAAATTTGTGCAAAGGATAAAGCTGAAAATACGCGATTTGGTTTGCATAACAGTTAAGGCAGAGAGGCAGAACTGGGAACAAGGTGGGTCGTAACAGGTTGTTTCAGAGTCTGTTACACTTGGAATATTTTTATGCGCATACGATTAGGGACTACAGTTACAGAATACTGTCTTGGGTATTAACAATCCCATCCACTTAAAATTATCTCTTATTGTGTGTGAAGAGGCAGTCATACATGGTGTTTTTGTAAGAAGCGTTGTTCTCTCATATTGTGAAAACCTGTATCAGGAAATGTTGCTTTAAAAAAAAAAAAATTGTGAGCAATTTCTTTTTATATCCTGGGAGAATATTATGTCTTTCTGTCCACTTCTCCACTTTTTTCTTGCCTGTTTTGCCTTTCCAGCTGCTGGAAGGTACACATTTGTGTGAGGAAAAGAGGTTGAGAAGAGAGGTGAACCACCTCATACTTTGCAGTTTTAGTTTAAGGAAAAAACGAATCTTAGTTTAGGAAAAAAAAATAGTTAGCAAAAAATTCAGTTTAAGAAAAAAACTTGTTACCATTGGGAAGCTTTGTATTTCAAGAAAATTTATTTGCTGGCCTTTTTTTGCTTTCTAGCACTCCTACCCCCACCCCACCCACAGCCTTTATTTTCCGCAGACTCCAGTATTGGGGATGAACATAGTATTTGGGACAAACATGTTGCTGTATTTTAAGAAACTCTCTTGCAGATCCCATGATCTGGCACTGCTGCAGAGTCTGCTTTCTACAGCAACAAACTGTGCATAAAACCTGGGCCCCGACAGCAAAATACCGGGAATTTTTTGAATGTGAGCAGAAGTGAGAGTCACGGCTATTGCTGGAGCCAGAAGAGATACTAAAGGAAAAAGATGTGTTACCGATTCTGTAACAGATACGTGTTTTGCACCTTGGTCCAATGTCACTCGGCTTCTATTGGAAGTGTGGGTTCACAAGGGGGAAGAGAAGGCCGTCCAGCACGTTGCTTGGAGACTGAAGAGTTTTCCTTCACCAGTACGCTCTCATTGCGTCCGTGCGTGTGCGCGTGTTACTATGTGCCGTGACTGTCTTAAAGTGCGCATCGATAACCCGGACTGTGCCTTCATCTTGTGTCTATATAGCAAGTCTGTGACTGTATTGGGATAATTATAAAGGCAAGTGTTTGCCTTCCCTGATTTGCCATGTGGGAAGCTAGCCACCGGGAGGCACTCATCCTGCACAGTACTCTCGCCTTACGCCGTTGCCTCCTGCTGCCGTCTTCGCAAATGCACTGCTGGGGAAGCCAAAGTTGGGTTTGAATGTCATGACGGTCATCGGTGATGGCCTTAACTACATCTGTTGCTGTGTAGTCATTATTCTGAAACGTACAGTAAGACCATCCGGTCACTTCACTTGTTCTAATACCTTACTTTCCCTTAAGACCTGCTCCGGGATGATGGTGGCAGGGAAACAAACAGGAGCACAAATTCTGTTCACCATAGCTGTCAGCTGAAATAGAAAACACATATTAAATTGGCCTGTAGGAAATGAAAGAGAGCTAGATTCAAGATGGAAATTCATATTTAGGATCTTGAATAGAAATACAGACATCAAAGCACAAGCAATCTTTTAAAAATTCTTTTCTTGTGCTTTTCAGGCAACTATTAGGAGTCGTCAGGCCACCAGTCGACACTGCCTGGTTAGAAAAATCTTGGCTCAAATACGCAGTTTTAAGGCACGAACTGGAGAAACAAATACCCAGCCAAGTCTATTTTAATCAGAGTTTTTAATCTTAGTTATTCTGGCATCGCTTTCTGCACATGTCAAGGCAGTAAATCAGTGCTCTCAGAGTGCTAAAGTTTATGGATAGATGCATTTTTGATTAATCACAATCATTTATTGTCTGGCATGGTCTGACTCCGAAAGGTCTTCCTAAGCGAGCGCAGTATTGAAGTGCTGATGCGAGTTAGGTAGATTGTGTCATTCGGTAACGGTGCATTGTATGTCTACAGAGGTCCTGAACACTGAACGTGTTTTCTTCTCGACTTTCTCTAGCACGATTACAATAAATTAAGGTTTTCCTTTTCTCTGCACCCTGTCTTACTATTGCCCTCTAAAGAACCTTACAGTGGAAACAGTAGAAAGTACCTTTTTATGTGAAAAAGGAAAATTCTAGCATTTGGTGTGGGATCGCATTTGGAGCAAAGGTTCTGATATTATTTTTAAAAAGTAAATACAATAGGGATCATTAACCACAGAGATAAACATTTATAATGTTTATAAATGTTACAAATATTTGTTCACAAATATTATTGGATCCTTTAAATGCACGTGTTCATGGAGAAACGAGGAAATTATTTTGGTTTGATTTTAAATGAAACAACAGATTTTATTATTACAAAAATCACTGGTGGACAGTATTAATAGTAACAGCTATTCCTAAATAGTAACAAGCTCCAAATTCTGTAATATATTTGCGTAAGTATGTAATATTTTGACTTTTCCATTGTTTTTCATTATTAGTCAGACAAACCGAGTAGTTTATTTGAATGGCAAGGAATGGAAAATAGAAGAAAATGTAATTTAAGCAGATTCTACTCGAACTGCATCATTTCCTGGTCAACTTTAGAGAAGTTAAATTTGTAATAGTCAGCTATATTTGCTCTGCCACAACTCTTTTCGAATACCGTGACTCATTATAGAACTCTGCACAAGTGAAAATGAGGTGTCTAGTTGGTGCTTGAGCTCTTTGCTGCGAGTACAACAAGAAATGTGGATTTTCAGCCTAGAGAAGCTTCTCTCAAGCTTGATTGACATATCTTAATTGCATTTATATTCTCTTTTATGTTATTCTAAAATAATCATTAAGAATTACAAACATTGCCAAGACTTTTAGCATGTCGTTTAACCACACAATACAAATTATGTCTGATAAAGGGATCTTCCCGTGGATCTTACGTTAAAGGTTATTCTATTAAAAAAAGAAAACCACAAATTAAAGTTATTTTTCTGAAAACATACATCAGCAAAACATAAACCCAGCATTTTATGTTGCTTTTACTTTGGTATGCAGATACAATTAGCACTGCTACCGAAGTCCACAGAAGATGTCTTTATGAGTTTAAAACAAAGTAAGTCCACACTGAAGTTCCCAGCAAACCCATACTAGTTATCTTCATTCTTGTCGCTTGCTGAATCATTCTTCGGTTGTCTTTCATTTTGATAGATGTACTCACTAGATGACTAAAATTTTTGGTAGAACACTCGTTCATAGACAGTCCCAGAAAGTAACTTCTCTCCAGTTAATTTGCATAACTAAAAACCCCTGGAAGTTATATAAAGTCAGGTCACAATTTTCAATACGGTTTTCACATTAAAAATTCAGAGAAGATGTTGTATTGCTCATGTTATCTATATGAGACTCTCTAAGCTCATGGCATTTTCTTTATTGAAAATGTATATTGTCCCAATTCTTCCTGAAAATTATGTAGACTCCACAGTAGCTGTCCATCTACGTATTACAGTTGCTATTCCCTTACATATCTTCACAATTTCACCGTCCTTCTTTGCGGGGAATTAGAGACACAGCAGCAGTAATGTGCCATTGTTGCGAAGTTCCCATCTCTTCATATCTGGTCTTGATTTTTACAGCACAAAGTTTCTGTCCAACAGAGAGTTGAAATGCTCTGCCTTTCCATCACTGACTTTTTGTTCTGTGTTTTTCTTTCAGGCGAGGACAGATGGTTCCTATCCAACTTTTGCTTCTGGAGGCTGAAGAGGTGTTTTGGTCTGAGCAAGCGGTGCAATGCTAGCATTTATGGCTGAGGTGAGTGGCTGATTGAACACTATGAGCAGGGCTATCACCTGGGGAACAGCTACAGATACCGTGGTGGGCTGGGGTTGGGGAAAAACAGAAGGATATTTGCATTAGGTTGCTCTGAACACTCTTCTTTTTGGAAGACACCTTTATGTGCTGATGAGGGTTGGTAAATTGGTATCCAGGGTCTAAGGGATGTGGGGGTGGTGTTGTTGGAGAGCATATGTGCTGACAGCTGTCTAGGATCAGCAGGAAAATTACAGAAAAAACACTTAAATGAATCTATGAAAATGTGTAGTTGATCTTGGGTCTTGTGTCTGGGAGAGAAGGGCACGGGAGAAAACTTATAAAGAAATGTCTCAAAATGTTCTGCTTTGGTTTAAGTGTAGAAAGAAAAAGGGTCCATTTTACATGATGGTGTAGTAGTAAAAATCTAGTTGAATACCCTTATGATGAAGAGTGCAGTTTTCCTGGACAGCAGAAGATGCTGGTCAAAATGAAAGTGCAAGTAAAAGAAAAATCTGGGATGTTACATGAACTCGGTTTGATGAAGAATAAATAAGCTTTTTAAAAGCAAGCCCATGTTCAATGCATTTCTCTGGATCTGAATTTGTTTGCTTTCCCTGTTTTTTTTTAAAACTTTATTCACATAATTGTATTTTCCTTGCTGAGTGACCTGGACACTTTCCG